CCGCATTGAGCACATTGGGTCACACTGGAGCCATGTCACACTGAGCACATTGGGTCACACTGGAGCCATGTCACACTGAGTACATTGGGTAACACTGGGGCTCTGTCACACTGAGCACATCGGGTCACACTGGGGCCCTGTCACACTGAGCATGCTGGGTCATGCTGGGATCCTACCACATTGAGCATGCTGCATCCTTGGAACTGCTTACCGTGCAGTTGTACTTAATGCAGTCCTCCCAGAAGCGGCTGGCAGAGAACTTCTTCTTCACGACCACTGTGAGCCCATGGATGAGACACTGGCCCACGCCCATAATGTTTCCTGAGGAGGAAGAGCAGGCACAGGGTGAAGCATGCCATACAGAAAGCGGACACGACGCTACAGGTAACAGTCTGAGCGAGGCTGACCTGCCGAGTGGTACAGGGGCAGGCAGTCGTAGACGACATCATCAGGGCGCATCCGGAAGGCATAGTAGCCAAAGGCAGCGATGCGGTAATACCTTTGGAGCAAAGCCAGAGGTGTCACGCCATGGCACACATGCCCCCCCCCCATCCCTGTGCCAGTGCCCACCCGCACTCACCGACTGTGAACCACGATGGCGGCCTTGGGCAATCCAGTGGTGCCAGAAGTGTAGATGTAGAAGAGTCTATCTGCAAGAAGAGGGGGAAAGGAGTCAGCCCAGAGCAAATAAGGTCAGAGCAGACCAGACAGTCCAGTCCAGGCTAGACAAGGCCAGAGCTCGGCAGTCAGATGAAACTTTACAGATAGTGTTTGGCAGTCAGCGTTCCTCTTACACTGTACACTGCATGGGAGCTCTCATCATAGCACGTGGATGGATCCCATGTGATGTAGTAAGGAGCTCCACACCCCAAATGTACACGTAATTATTTAGCCCAAAGCGAGACAGACAGTGCAATTAAAGGGTACGGCTGTCAAGCAGCCAACTAGGCCATAGTGCAGCTTGGTTGAGCTTGCAGTGAAGGCCCAAGAGCATGTATGAGACAGACAGACCAAAGCAGAAACTCACAGTCAAAAGGTCTGAAAATGGCTACAGGATCATAAGCAAGCAAGATCATTAACTGACAGTGGATTGATGTCAAAACCCAAATGAAACGTTTACACACGTCACAGAAGCACTGCTGCCTCTAAGGCAGGCCTCCGCATGCCCGCAGAGAACCCGTTTCCCCCTGGGAGGAGTGAGGCGAGGGGCCCAGGGGAATCAATCTGCTTTTTATTCTTTAGCCATCGTGAGGCTCCTTTCACAGCCAGGAGGAGAGCGGCTGGCACTGTGTCGCTTCTCAATGAGGCAGCAAGATCATGTGGTAGGAAGGAAGGGAGATTGAGTGTGAATGCACAGACAGGAAGCGGGGGGGGGGCTGCAAAAGAGAGGAGGAGGCAGAAGAGGGAGGGGCACCAGGAACTGGGTGAAAGGTCACATACCACACGAGTGTGAGCTGACAGGCAGCTAAAAATACTGCTTATGCTGCCGCCGCAGGCAGAGGCTGCCGCCCTTTGCATGATCCCTCACCCTGTGCCTCTGTGGACACTCTGTCCCTCAGACAGACAGACAAACACGCACTGAGGTCAGGTGATCGGCAAGTCCTGAGCATGTAAACAAAGTCATTCAGTCCTTCAGCAGAAGACTCTCTTTGAGCTATCCCATCATACTCTTCTATGCCACATGGCACCTCCAACAGACCCAGGATCAGCTAGGACTTCACTTGCCACCCCGACTGACCACTTTGCCGGCCACCCCAACACCCCCACTGACCACTTCACAGGGCACCCCGACTGACCCCTTTGCGGGACACCCTGTCTGACCACTTCGCCGGGCACCCCGACTGACCACTTTGCCTGACTGACCGCTTTGCCCGACTGACCGCTTCGCCGGGCACCCCGACTGACCGCTTTGCAGGACACCCTATCGAACCACTTAGCCGGGCACACCGACTGACCGCTTTGCCCGACTGACCACTTCGCCGGGTACCCCGACTGACCACTTCGCCGGGCACCCCGACTGACCGCTTAACTGGGCACCCTGACTGACCACTTCGCCGGGCAACCTGTCTGAGCGCTTCACGGGGCACCCCCACCTGACCGCTTTGCCAGCCACCCCGATTGACCGCTTTGCCAGCCACCCCAACACCCCCAATGACCGCTTAGCCGGGCACCCCCAATGACTGCTTCGCAAGGTACCCTTACTGACCGCTTCGCAGGGCACCCCGACTGACCGCTTCGCAGGGCACCCCGACTGACCGCTTCGCAGGGCACCCCGACTGACCGCTTCGCAGGGTACCCTTACTGACCGCTTCACCCAGCACCCCTGTGTGCCCAGTTCACACGGCACCCACATGGCAGTGATGTGTGTAAATAAACAGACATAGAGGGCAGTGCAGAGTGTGTAGAGGCATATAATAAGATCTGCAAACAAATTCCATGCTTCCTATTAGGGTGACATAACGGCCCGGCTGTGGGAGCCAAACCCATAACAGGATAAACCAACATCCACTTATGTGACACTGATCTAGTTAAACAAGCTGAGTGTGAGGAAGCCAGAGTCAGACTGACAGGGGCTATGAACAAGAGAAAATCCCCTACTACTGGGGGATTTGCGCAAGTATGTACGTGCATGCATGAGCACACACACAAACACAAACACACAATCAAGTAAAAATGGTACAGACAGAGCAAATGGAGGAAACAGGGAGCGAGTGACAATGAGATCAGGGTCAGGATCAGTACCTGCACATTTTGGCTACCAAACATGGACATAAATATCTGCAGGCAGAGACAGGCCAGCTCGAACCCAGGCTTGCCTGAGCCCATACCTCCCTGCCCCGGTCAAAACACACAGGCGTCCTGCCTCAAACCCAGCTCACTCCCACAGAAAGTTCAAGCGAGCGGCACACTCACCACTGAAGCTCTTGCTGTTGGTGCAGGGGGGCGGTGTTCTGGGGGCAGAGGCCAGCATGGGCTCCAGGGGCTCAGCCAGCAGGGAGGTCATAGTGTCCGAACCCAGCTGCCCTGCACAGAAACGAACCATGGACTGTCCAAAGGACACACTCACCTCCAGCATAGCTGCAGGGGAAGGGCAGAAATGGAGAAATAACACTGAGAATTTTGTGCTACAACTGTGAGACAAGGTAAACACATGTGCAAGGACAGGACACTGACACACAAAGGCACAAGTCAAGGAGACACTGACACACAAAGGCACAAGTCAAGGAGACACTGACACACAAAGGCACAAGTCAAGGAGACACTGACACACAAGGGCACAAGTCAAGGAGACACTGAC